TTATTCACCCCCCCCCTTTTAGTGCTCTCGATCCTAACATAAATGTCACTCTCAGATGCCCGCTCCTCCGAACGACTCCTTTTCCCTACATCTCCATACTCGTTTTCCCTCAAACAGTCACGCGTGTACTAACTGCCCTCAACACAGCCCCGTTAGGTCCCCCACATTTGCATGCCAAGTGTTTCTATGAGTGCTTGTCTCGCTCTGATACCATATGTCACGGACTTAGTTGGTTTTGCCTAAGTCGTGCGGCACCCTTGCATATCCGTCCGCAAAGGTCAGCCTCCCTGAAGCCTCCTATGGTCCCTCAGAACCCACAAAAGAGAAAACGGGTTAGAGAAAACGCCTCACTCAGGATCCACAAGCAAACATTTCCGAAAACACTTCATAGACAATGCAAATTACAAACAGACTTTACAAGCTCTGAACAGTTGCACAACAAATGGTCAAAATGATCCATTATAGACTGTAAATCTCTCACAAGTGTCCACATGACACAACCTTTATTTACAAGCCTAAAGCGGCCACCAACCCAACTAAAATGGGATTATTAAGCCTTCGGTCGTCCCTCTATATGATGTGCAAAGTATGAACATACCAAAAGACACGGATATACATAAGCATTACATCAAACATCCTGTTTAGAAGTTTGTCCGTGACAGAGCGACGGCGACAATAGGACCGGCGAGCAACAGCAAGAGTGGGAGCGGGAGCTGCAAGCGGCGAGCGACAACGGGAGCAACGACAGCAGCGGCGAGCAATTGGCAAGCAGCGATTGTGGCAGCGGCAAGTAGCGACAGTAGCGGCGAGCAGCGATAGTAGCGGCGAGTAGTGACAATAGCAGCGAGTAGCGATAGTAGCGGCGAGCAGCGATAGTGATAGCGATAACAGAGAGTAGCGATAGTAGAGAATAAATCTCAGCGGCAAAATCACGAGTGCTAGGGTTGGGGAAGTCGGGGAAATTGCAAGAGGGAGCCTGATGTCGGTGATTTAGTTGGTTTGATTGAACCAACTAAAGCACCGGAGACCAACCTGACCTAAAAATCTGGTTCGGTCGCCTGGTTTAACCCAGGCGCTCGCCCGAAGCGCCCGACGCCCGGGCTTGGGCGAGCGCCCAGGCGACGCCTCTTTGAAGCGAAGCGCTCGGACATGAAGCGAGGCGCTCTGGCCTCTCCTCGCCTCGCCCGAGCGTCTATTGAAATCACTGATTGTAATCAATATATGCTTTGCGTCTCTACCATTTATATTTGCTCATTTCTGGAAAATTCTGGGAAGGTTCGCCTATAATTGCATTGTACTATTTATCCTTTTTAAGTAATTATTCTTAAAGATTTTATTTATACTATTTATCCTTTTTAAGTAATTCTGGGAATCCAATAGGACTGACATCAGATGGATATACAACCTATTATGTGATATGCAAAGTTTAACTCTCTTGGACTCCATGACATGAAGATATCAGCAATGTGCTTCTATCTAATTCTGAATGAGTGTTTCTCAAAAAATAATATGTGCATGATGCCCATTCTTTCTATCTGACTGTTCTGTTCTCACTTCTTAGATTTGATGACAAGAACAATTTCACTTTCTGGATTCTTTGTGCAAAAAAAAAAAAAAAACTGTTTTCAAGTGAACAAATCTCTTCTTAATCTTTTTATGAATATGGGTGATGGTCTATGAAGAAACAATATCATTTCTCTCTCATATGTCAGGGTTAGAGATATTCTTTTTACCAGACATGCCTATAATGTTGATGGCTCACAGGCACTTTTATCATATATCATCTGTGATATTCTCATTGGAAGTGGAAATATGATCATAATGATATATGAGATTAGAGGAGTCTAATACTATTGACCATATATTGATGTTTAATCAAAAGAATATTTCTTGGGTTGCATGGTCCATATCATGTGCCACCACTGCACATGTTGTTGTTCCTCACCGACCACAAGGGACATGTGCCAGCCAGCATTTGGCACGGTGGGAAAGATGAGTCTTGCCCTATTATTCCATTAGGAAGAATCCCTTTTTCCTTTTTATGATTCGGAGATGTGATTGATACATCCACATGAAGCATGTCAAGTCTTACACCATTCGATTGCTACTTCTTCTACGTTGTGCTTCCTAAACAAGTGCATCTCTCTTTTACCTTTGCCTCCATCAATGCAACATCTAAACCTTATCAGTAATGGAATACTACAACACAACCACAATAACAAGCTATAATTAAATCAATAACATTCATATCTCTTCTAACTCCACCATCTAATGTATGCTTTAATGACTTAATCTGAACACTGTATATAGTTAATAAAAAAAAATCAATCAATCTGCCATGTAGATAAAATAATATGATTTGATTGTGATATATATATATATATATATATATATATATATATATATATATATATATATATATATATATATATATATATCTTTAGATCGTAAATGGTTATGCTTTCTCTTTGCCCCTCTCTCCCTTTCATCATCATCAGTTGTGCTTCCTTTCTACCCTCCCTCCACTAATCGTGGATGATTGTACTTCTTCTTCGTCCTTTTCGCCCAACGACGACTATACTTCCTCTTTACTCTTCTCCTCTCATTATCAATGTACCCTATCTCTATAAGTGAAAGTGCATTAGGGCCAACAACTATAGAGGCCTTCCTGAGCATAGAGCGCAAGTTCTAGGTAGCCATCATCGCCAACTGCTACCTTTTGCTGCTTGTTGACTAACATCTACGACGGCAACATCGTTGGAATGGTGAACTATCTCCTTTCACCATTATAATCAATAGTCGTAAATGATACCCATCGTAAAAAATCTCTCTATGAGAAAATTATTCATTGTGTGGGTAAGGGTTTTGTTTTATCTACAACATGAAATTACTTTTTATTTTTATTTCTATAGAGATAACATTATGAGATACATATTTGTTTGGTAATAATATTAAAATTTTCATGGTTATTGATTTTGATACATAGTTTTATGATGAGGTGGAAGAATGTTGTTATTAATTGCACCTTTCACCATTAGCTATTATTTGTATGTTTCCTAATATGTTTATCAAAATATAGCTATTGTTGTATTAAGAATCAATTTAAGAATAAACTTTTGTTTTCTTATTGATATTGTTTCATAATCAAAATTATTGTAATAGAAGTTAATTTTTAAACACGTTAGAGGAGTTGTTACGTACACTCATAATAATATCATGCCTAACATGATCAACTTCTTATTATCTTTATTGCTTTTGTTGTGTAGACTCAATGATATAATTTTTTATTTCTTTTCCTATTGATGAAATATTACGGATAAAAGTTAGATTAATAATAATAGAGTTCGTAACGAGTATTCACAAGATGTTAAGGTTTCATTAATTTTGCATTAGAAAAGGGTTGCTTGGGATGGAAAGATTCTCTCTCTGTCCATGCAAATTATGTTTGTAATTTTTGCTATATGAATCATGAAACTATATATAAAAGAAATTTAACATGCTACATAAAAAATCTATGCTATGAGCCTTTCGACCTTACTTAACATGTTTTAAGATGCTTGATGTGATGGCGACATGCACTAATATGGGGTTCTTATCATTTAAAAAATATTTTATATGAATCGAAATATTATTCAATTTTTTTTGTTTTTTTCTACTGAACTTTGAACTTTGATTGAAGGTGAATAATTTCTTTATCCATCTTTGAGAGGAAATACAAATTTTTTATTTAAAATTTTATTTTTTTTATTACTTACATAAAATAATCTTTTCATTTTTTTTACTTTTCTCGCTTTACAAAAAAAATATATATCTATACTATTTTTCTTATTTTTTCTATATGTTTATAATTTAAAGAGTATTTTGGTATTATTGGAAAAAGGAGTCACTATGTGGTGCTTTGCAAAACAAAGAAAAATAAAACTACTCATAATCTTATTAAATATGATGATAAATTAATATAACGAAATATATTACATTCTTCGAGTATTCATACAAATTTCCTATTGTGATGTAATAATATATTTGTCTATAATAAATATACAAATAATAGTGTTGTATTTGGTCAATAATGAGTATAAATGAAACAATGTGAAGGTTGTCAGCCACATCAACCATAGCGACAAACAACATCAGTCAAAGGACCGGCGGAGGTGGATTTCTTTGATAACTGTGCATATCATCATCATCATCATAATCATCGTCATCATCATGCCAGTTGTGATAAAAGAGAGATTTTTAAGCGGCCTTTGTCGACGACGGGAAGGAGTGCGAGTGGGAAAGCATCGGATGCTCTCCTTGGCTTTGCTTTCCAGATAATCTCGTTGGGGTTCGGCCTCATCCCCCCCCCCCCCCTCTCCTCCTCCTCCTCTATAAGAATTCGCGACAGCCTCCGTCGGCGATCGACACCAAAACCCCTCGTCGATGGCGGACCTGCTGGCGCCCGAGCAGATCGCGGAGTTCAAGGAGGCCTTCAGCCTCTTCGACAAGGACGGGAACGGTCAGCCCTCCCCCATTCCACTTCTCTTGCTTCTGTCGACCTCTCTCGTTCTCGTTTACGATTCGCTTCGAGTATTGAAGTAGGGTTTTTGCTGCTATGCTTGATTGACGTGGTCGTCTAGGTGATTCCCTTTGCTGCTTTTGCTCTGAATTCATTGGCCTTAAACTTCTCCTTTTTTTCTTTTTGTTTGGGTTTTTCGATCTAAAGAATTCTCTTTTAATTTCTTGCTCTTTTACCGTATAATTAGACTGGGCGCCATCATCTCTTTTGTTCAACAAGCTTCATGCTTTCTAGCGGGCTATAACTTGTACCCATGATATTTATTGGAACTCCATCCTAAATTATGTACAATAATTCCTTGTGGTTGTGGTCTGTTCTTGTCATCAGCATATCTTGACAAGAAGATTTATGGTGGCCGTTCTCTCACCCAAATGATTACTGAAATAAATGGCCTCCTTTGAATCCATATCTACAAGTTCAGGTTCGATGGAATTAACCTTAAGAACCTACTGACTCTGAAAGTAATGTATTTTTTAAGAAAATTCAAGATTTTGAATGTTTTGGTCGGGACATTAGTCTAGAAAGCGAGTAATACGCAAGAGGGAACCCATTTCTTCCCAGTTTGCGCTGAACTAATGATGATAAGAATGGAACTTCTTCTCTTTTGGCCAATCCAGCTAATTTTAAGGCTGACATTGGTTTTGGCCCAGACTTAGCCAGAACTTGAAACTGTGACGGAAGGTCTTTCGGAGATTCATGTTAGTAGAGGAACTTCAAACATTAAACAAATATTGGTCAGTTAAGTTAGAAGTTCAAAATATTTCTGAATTTTGTTTAGGTTTGATATCCCTACAATTTGTTTCCATAAAATAGGGATGGCTGTCCTTGTAATTTTTATAATATACATTTTCACCTTTTTTGGTCAGTTTCGATTGTCTACATATTTTTCTCAAGCTCTCTATTTTTACTGTATTAGCATATGATTTGAGTCTGCTTTTGTTTGTACGAAACTAAGTTAATGAAATGTTAGGTGTGTTTTACTAATCTAAATACTTGTTCCGATTTAGCTGACAAAGTTGCTATGTAAATCATTCCCATCCTTTTGATTTATTGAATATCTATTAATTTTTCCACACTTAGCCTATGATTTTTAAGGTTTTTTGTCATTGCACAAAAATTATGTTAGTATTTTCTCATTTGTTGGATATCATAAAATTCTCATTGTAGTTACCTTCTCAACAATAGAGTGTATGTTCTTCATTTGGTTTCTCCTAATAAAGAAATATGGTTACCCTCCTCAAAATTAGAGTATTTGCTTAAATTTCCTGAGTATATGTTCTTCATTTGGTTTCTCTTAATAAAAAAATATGGTTACCCTCTTCAAAATTGGAGTATTTGCTTAAGTTTCCATCTCAAATATGTTGCATCATTTTTATTTTTTTTTGAACTTTTGGTCATTGTTGCAAATTGCACTATCAATTATAAACCTCTTGTATCTTCTGGATGAAATGTCATTAGGTCACATCACAACTAAGGAGCTTGGAAATGTGATGCGAACACTGGGACAGAATCCTACAGAGGCAGAGCTACAGGATATGATCAATGAGGTGGATGCCGATAGGAGTGGAACCATTGATTTTAAAGAGTTCCTTAACCTGATGGCACACAAGATGAATGCTGGCTCAGAGGAGGAGCTTAAGGAGGCTTTTCGGGTATTTGACAAGGATCAGAATGGGTTCATTTCTGCTGTTGAGCTTCGCAATGTATTGGTCAATCTTGGAGAGAAACTGACTGATGAGGAGATTAATGAGATGATGCATGAGGCTGATACCAATAATGATGGCCAAATCGATTATAAGGAGTTCATAAAAGTCATGAATGCAAAGTAAGGAAAATTCCTGCAAATGTTTTTCTCTAAAGAATCAATACTTTCATGGCTTTTCATATAAGTAGTATTGTGAGAAAAGGCAACAATTTGTTGGTTTGGTGATTGTTTTATTTTGAACTGGCTTCCTAGAAATTTTTCTTTCTGTTAAGATTCTTCAGGTTTCAGATTTTTCCCTTTGGAACCTCTGGATACCAAGATTTGCGACCTCTTTTTTTCGTAGTTTTGAATCTCAGAGTCGACTTTCACTATTTATTTACAAAATAAATGTCCAAACCAATCATAATCATATTAATAAGTAAGGCTTACTTCATCCCTATCTATATCGGTTTGGGCCACATCCAAAACCTGGACTACTGCAAAAACCTGCTTTATTTAAGTCCTCATGTTGCAAATTGACTAAAAGTATATCTGCTGTGTATTTGCTTTTTCTTTTTCATGCTTAATTTGCTATTCACTTGTAATATTAAAATGCCTTGGAATATATCCTGTACCATAGGTCATAATGTCATTCTGTTCTTCCAGCTTTGTTTAGTTGAAACTTGAAGAAATCTCCAAAGGGTGCCTTGTAATATTTCCTACCCAATCAAACACGTGAAAATAATGAAGTAACTTCCATTGATCCTTCCTATGTTTTACTTTACACTCCACAAGTGCTCTTGTTCTCAAAATCTCAGGATTTGCATTACTTTGTGTCTAACTACTAGTTCTTATTGCATCATGTGGCAAGCTAAATTTGTTAGATTAGTTTTCTGTTTTCATTGTGACTGTACTTGTGGGACGAAGGATTTATTGCCTTTTGCATGCAAGCATTTCTTTTGTTTCTTTAGGTGTTCATCATTTCATTTAAGTATCTTCGCTAACTAGATTCTCTTGTGGCAGATCCTAGGAAACCCATTGTCTTTTCAACTCCAATGCTCTGGGTATATTTTGCTAGCTATTAATTTGCAGCCTATATTATTCTGCATGACTGCTTGATACTGCCTTCTTTGGCATTAGGGCTGAGTCTTTTATCTATGATATAGGTCCACTCAAATTGAAACATAGATGAAAGTAGCAGACCTCTGCCTCCTGGCCCAGCTCGATTTGACTCAGTTTCTAGGGTTCTATAAGCTTCATTGGTCAACAATTCTTCATATGCCAAATTTAGTTTTTGTTTGTAGACAATACTGCCCAATACTTTTACTCATTGGAACCCATTTTAAAGCCACACAATTCCAATGCTTCCAAAAACTATTTCTGTTTTAATGGTGCTGAATACTCTGATCATAAGTTGGCTGCTTGTGGCTTGCAAGATGAGTGATGTTACTCTCTGGTGTTGCTTTGGTTACTGTCTGCTCTATTGTCATGGCTAATATTACCGTCTTAAACTTGCTGTTGCAACTCTTGCATCGTTTCCTTGTGCACTAGTCTATAGGCTGTGCTTAAAGAAACTACATGGTCAATTGAGAGGTTTCATGATGGGAACTTCTGATTGTTTATAAAGGTGTCAGCTAGCTTAGCTGGTAAAGATCTTGATAGTTTATCGTAAGGTTCTAAGCTCGAATTCCACCTTTATCATTTACCCTTTGCAAAAAAAAAAAATTTGATTATTTATTGTCTATATAGTTGGTTAATAGTGCAACCATCTTATTTGTCATTTTTAAGAGATGGCATCATTTAAAGAATCCATATGATTAAAGCAATACTAGAGCTCTGATTGTGATTGGAATGTGGACTTTTTTTTTTGCAGACGAAGACCAGGTGAGGGGAGTGATAGCAAGAAGGCTGAGACCAGTCCTCGTCACTCGAAGCACAGCGGCGACGATCCTCCATCAAAGTGCAGCCAAGTCTGCTCGAACTGCACTGTTCTCTAATCGACCTGTGTGGGGCATCCTTACTGGAGACATGGAATGAGTGAGTGACATGGTGTTATGTTCTGTATGTATTTAACATTGCTTGGTACCATAAATGAATTCCTCTTCCCTGTGAGTAGACATATTTACTGTATCACACTATAAAAGCCATATTGTTTATATCATATGTATTTGCAAATATTTTCATCTGATTCTGCTTCTTCCTTCTTGTTGTACTGAAGGTGTTATTGGTGTTCACTTTCAATAATCTTATTTATCTCAATTCAAACATATTTCATCTTCCTCTGACTTTGAATTGGCAGAAATATCATGCACTGGGGTATTTAGAGTAGTAGTATGATCCACAAATGCTAAAACATCATTCATTCTATCTTGCATGATTATTCATGAAAAAAAATCATGCTAAAATTTTTAAAAATAAAATGAATATTTTGCATGGTATATATTATTTGAGGACTCCTCCACCCAGGCCTCACATTGATGTCTTATCCATGATGCTGAGGGGCCTCACTTTGACCCCATTTCTTCCATTAATACTAAGAGAAGTTGTAAACAAAATTATCATACACTCGACTCAGTCCAAAAATGTGAAAACTTCTGAGATGTGTGCAAACCATTACCAAACAATTTGAGCTCCAAAGAGTCAGACTACTGTGGTCACATAAGTAAATTGAGCACCAAAATGCAAAAAAGGATAGAGTTTTACTATTCACAGACCCCATTTGACTATTGAAACCCTCATATCTCTTTTTTAAAATAATAAAATATTATTTTACTATCTATAGTCTTGATATTATTGATTTTATCTTTTTTTTTCTTTTTCATGACCCCTTCTTTTATCCTTGATGTCGATGTCGCTCGTCACCTCTTGCTCGTCGTTGTTGATACCGATGGTTACGAAGAAAAAAAAGAAAAAGAATAGAGAAGAATATTTATATTTATTTATAAAAAAAATAATTTAAAAATATTAAAAAAAATAAAAATATGAATATAAATAGTAAATATAGAGTTGCAAATATTAATATCAAAAAAAAAATAGTCGCCTATTCCAAAGATAGTAAGACAGTTGTCAACCAGCATGAATGTGATCCAAACAAAAAAGTGTTGTCTTCTTCGTCTGCAAAAAGACACGGCATCATCTTCAACAAAGTCATGGGCTCTACAATTTGAAATCTAACTTATCAAAAAAAATATATATATACAATTTGAAATCTCCAAAGAAATAGGAGATTTCAAATGACAAGTTTTTTCCTTCTTCTATTCATAATCACATTTTAAAAATAAACTTATTATTTAAAACTCCTCTCTTACTATTTATAATATTTTTTTAAAAATAATAATAATAATTTACTATTCATAGCCCTTCTAATTTTATTTTTGTTATTTTTTTCGTTGTTTTTCTTCCCCATGGCTCTTCGCTTGGATTCTCTCCATCGCCCACATACCTTATGACCCTCATCACTATTGTTATTGACTCTTTGTATTGTCAATTGTCGTTGATCATCACTCATGGTCTTGCCCTCACCACTTACTATCGTCGGTCGCCGGTCTGAACCTGCCCACTTGTTATGAATCTTCCACTAACGTCATCACTATCGAATTTGCTACTTGTAAAAGAGGAGGAAGTCATTATCGTCAATCGTTAGTCCCAACTTGCTCGCTTATCGTTAATCTTCTATTAATATTATCGTCGATTTTGTCGATTGTCGAAGGGGAGGAAGCTATTATCGCTAATCATCGCCCTAGCTTTCTCGACTATCGATAATCTTTCGTTGACATCATTTTCATCGACCATGTTGGCTACGGAAGAGGAAGAAGTCATTATCATTGATCATTAATCCCAACCTATCTATCTGCCATCAATCTTTTGCTGATATCATCGTTGCCAACTCCACTATTTGCGGAAGAGGAGGAAGAAGATGAGAAGTGGAAGATGATGACAATGATGAAAAGGAGGAGGAAGAAGAAGAGAAGAAACAAGTAAAGAAGAAGATCAAAAGGAGGAGAAGAAAATAGTCACAACAATCAATGTTCTTACAGATGGTTGGTCGACAAACGAAGTGAGTTATATAAAATAATATAATTGAGGAGTCGTGGAAAAAATAAAGATGTCATTGGTAATATAGGAAATGTATTTAGTAAAATTATATTTTTATCTGTTTAATGATTATATGAAGAAGTAATGGATTGTTAACAACAAATAGCAACACTAAAAAAAGAAAGAAAAAAAAGAGAGAAATACTTTCTATTTATTAAATAAAAAAAATAACAATATTGAGAAACTTTTGTATTATGGGAATCGGTCAATAACAAAGTATAAATAGTACGGCGAGAAAGTTATCGTCCACATCATAAACAATGACGAAGAAACTGTCAAAGGAGCAGTGGAGGTGGATGCTTTAATAACTGTGCATCGTCGTCGCCATCATGGCCAGATGATAAAAGAGAGATTTTTAAGCCGGCTTTGTCGACGACGGGGAGGAGTGCGAGTGGGAGAGCATGGGATGCTCTCCTTGGCTTTGCATTCCAGATAATCTCGTGGGGGTTCGGCCTCATCCCCCCCTCCCCTCCTCCTCCTCTTCCTCCTCCTCCTCCTTCTCCTCCTCTATAAGAATTCGCGCCAGCCTCCGTCCGCGATCGGCACCCAAACTCCTCGTCGATGGCGGAGCTGCTGACGCGCGAGCAGATCGCGGAGTTCAAGGAGGCCTTCAGCCTCTTCGACAAGGATGGGAACGGTCGGCCCTCTCGCCCCCCCTCCCCCACATTCCCCTTCTCTTGCTTCGATCGACCTCTCTCTCTTTCTCGTTTACGATTCGATTCGAGGATTGAATTAGGGTTTTTGTTGCTCTGCTTGATTGACCTGGTCGTCGTCTCGGTTCTCGCTCGCTGGTGATTTCCTTTTCTACTTTTGCTACGAATTCATTCTCCTTTTTCTTTTTGTTTGGATTTTGGATCCAAAGAATTATCTTTTAATTTCCTGCCCTTTTACCATATAATTAGATTGGGCGCCATCATCTCTTCTGTTGAGCAAGCTTCATTCTTTCTAGTGGGCTATGACTTCTACCGATCATAATGTCGTAGATAAGATGATATTTATTGGAATTCCATCCTAAATTTTGTACAATAATTCCTTGTGGTTGTGGTCTGTTCTTGTCATCAGCACATCTGGACAAGAAGTGTTGTGGTCTCCGATCTCGCACCCAAATGATTACTGAAATCAATGGCCTCCTTATATAATCCATATTTACAAGTTCAAGGTCAATGGAAGTAGCCTAAGAACCCACTGACTCTGAAAATAATGTAATTTTCAAGAAAATTCATGATTTTGAGTAGGTTTTCGTGGGGACATCATCAGCCCAAAAGGCTGAGTAATATGCATGAGGAAACCCACTACTTCCATCAGTTTTGCGCTGAACTTGATGATGATAAGATTGGAACTTCTTCTGTTTTGGCCAATCCAGCTAATGTCAAGTCTGACATTGGTTTTGGCTCAGACTTAGCCAGAACTTAAAACTGTGATGGAAGGTGTTTAGGAGATTCATGTCTGTAGAGAAACTTAAAACATTAAAAAAAAAATATTTGTCAGTTAAGTTACAAGTTAAAATTATTTGTTAATTTTGTTTAGGTTTGATATTACTACTATTTGTTTCCACAAAATAGGGATGATGGGTGTCCTTGTAACTCTGGTAATATACATTTTCAATTATTTTGGTTAGTTTCTTCCATTGTCTATATATTTTTCTCAAGCTCTCCATTTTGTACCCTATTAGCATATGATCTGAGTCTACTTTTGTTTGTACAAAATTAAGTTAATAAAATCTTGGGTGTGTTTTACCAATGTAAATACTCGTACCGATTTAGGTGAGGAAATTCCTAGGTAAATAATTTCCGTCCCTTTTATTTAATGAAATATCTATTAAATTTTTTTTCCAAGTTTAGGCTATGATTTGTAAGGTTTTCGGTCATTGCACAAAAAATTATGTTAGTATTTCTCATTTGTTGGATATCGTAAAATGCTCGTTATAGCTACCTTCTCGACAGTAGAGTGTATGTTCTTCATTTGATTCCTCTTAATAAAGAAATATGGTGACCCTCCTCAAAATTAGAGTATTTGCTTCAATTTCCTTCTCGAGTATGTTGCATTTTATTAAAAGAACTTTTTGGTCGTCGTTGCAAATTGTACTACCATATATAAACCTATCGTATATTCTGGATGAAATATCGTTAGGTCACATCACAACTAAGGAGCTTGAAAATGTGCTGCGTACACGGGGGCAGAATCCTACAGAGGCAGAGCTAGAGGAGATGATAAATGAGGTGGATGCCGATAAAAGTGGAACGATTGATTTTCCAGAGTTCCTTAACCTGATGGCACGCAAGATGCATGCTGACTCAGAGGAGGAGCTTAAGGAGGCCTTTCGGGTATTTGACAAGGATCAGAATGGGTTCATTTCTGCTGCTGAGCTTCACGATGTAATGGTCAATCTTGGAGAGCAACTGACTGATGAGGAGGTCAATGAGATGATGCGTGAGGCTGATTCCAATAGTGATGGCCAAATCGATTATAAGGAGTTCGTCAAAGTCATGATTGCCAAGTAAGGAAATTCCTGCAAATGGTTTTCTTATAAGAATCAATACTTTCATGGCTTTTCGTGGCAGATAAGTAGTATTGTGAGAAAAAGGCAACAATTTTTTGGTTTTGTTGACTGTTTTACTTTGTATCGTCTTCCTAAAAATTTGTTCTTTCTGTTCTTGTTCTTCAGGCTTCAGATTTTTCCCTTTGAAACCTTTGGATACCAAGATTTCCGACCTCTTACTTTCGTAGTTTTGAATCCCAGAGTTGACTGTCGCTATATATTTGCAAATAGATATTAGAACCAATCCTAATCATATTAATATAAGTAAGGCTTGCTTCATCCCTATTTGAACTGGTTTGGGCCACATCCAAAACCCGGACTGCTGCAAAACCTGAATTATCTAAGACTTGCCACAAATTGACCAAAAATATATCTAATGTATGTATTTTGCCTTTTTCTTTTTCATGCTTATTTTTCTATTCACTCATAACAATATCATTCTTTTCTGGAACTGGAAATATGTTATTCCTGCTTGGTTTAGTTAAAACTTGAAGAAATCTCCAAAGGGTGCCCCCTTGTAGCATTTCTTTCCCAATCAAACACATGAAAATAATCAAGTAACTTCACTTATGTTTTGCGTTACCCTCCACAAGTGCTCTTGTTCTCAAAATCTCAGTCAGGATGTGCATTATTACTTTTAGCTTTCTGTTTTTGTCGTTACAGTACTACTTGTGGGATGAAGGATTTATTGCCTTTTGCATGCAAGCATTTCTTTTGTTTCTTTAGGGGTTCATCATTTCATCTTAGTATCTTTGCTAACTAGATGCTCTAGTGGCAGATCTTAGGACTTGGTTGGCCTTTTCGACTCCGTTGCACTGGGTATACTTTGCTGGTTATTAATTTGCAGCCTAAATATTCTGCATAACCACACACTTGTTTGTACGTCAAACTTAGTTTATGTCTGTAGATGATACTGCCCAATACTTTTGCTGATCGGAACCAATGCTTCCATAAACTAATTTCTACCTTAATGGTGCTGAATTCTCTGATCTTACTTGAGTTTGCTGCTTGTGACTTGCAAGATGATCATATTACCATGGTTACTGTCAGCTCTAAATTTTGATTGTTGGTTGTCTGTTTGACTAGACTGGTTAATAATGCAATCATCTTATTTGTCATTTATTAGAGAGATGGCATCATTTAAAGAACCTATAGGATTTAAATAAAGCAAGCAAAGCTCTGATTGTTGTGATTTGCAATCTTCTGCAGACGAAGACAAGAGGAGGGGAATGATAGCAGGAAGGCCGAGACCAGTCCTCGTCAGTCGAAGCACGGTGACGACCGCCCTTCACCATCAAAGTGCGGCCAATTCTGCTCGAGCTGCACCATCCTCTGATCGACCTGCGTAGGACGTGGAACGAGTGACATCATGGGGGGTGGGGGGGGTGTTTTGTTCTATATGTATGTATCATTGCTTGGTATTCAACCGAGTGTTAGGCCTGAGGCATGTGTGCAACAGTCGAGATGCATTATTCCTCTCTCCATAAGGTCAATCCTAATTAATGTGGTGGTCATGCGAGTAAAATGAGCTCAAAAATCCATAAAGTAACCTCCAACCGAAGATATAACACAGTTCTAAAGATATTGTTGTCGACGCAAATCAATTGCTTCAGCCCATGATGACATGCTGATATAACACAGTCGGCAAGCTATATTTCTCTCTATCTGTGAGGGCAAAAACCAGTGTGTTGTGATTCACATGAACATTCGGCAAGCTATATTCCTCGTATTTAAATTGAGCAGACCCAAAGATACTCTGTCTTCTTCCACATCACATGAACTCTGCATAGCATTTGTCCTCCACAACAAGACACAGGGCATCATCTTCTACGATTTAACCCAACCCCACATGTGCCCCCCGACAAATGGGAATCAATTCTGGTGACTCCTTTTACATGGAGGCTGTTGTGATTCACCCACACAGCATTATAAAGAACCCAACAGATACAATGGTATAATCTCGCTACTCATTTCTTGAGCTAAACAATTAAAAGTGCAACAAAACTAAAACTACATAAGAACAAGGAGGGGGGGGGGGGGGGG